TAACCGAGCACAAACTCTATGACAATGCATTTATGACTTCCTTAAAAGTAAACGATGTTACCATTACTATGCAAGTCGATACTGGTTCTAAATTCACCATTATACCTCATAAAATGGCTAAACAAATAGGTATTAAAGATCTTAAAAAGTCCATTCTACAACTCTCAGCTTATGATGGAAACTTAATTGAAATTATTGGCGTAACTCAAGTTAAAGTAAGCTACGATGGTATCGCCAAACACTTGCTAGCAGTGATCGTAAAGTCTAATAAAAATGCATTATTGGGTCGAATGTTGATCAATGCCTTTAGTAATATTTTGAACAAGTTTATAGCAAACATCGATATCAATTATGAAGATGGAATAAATAAATTAATAAAAGATTGTGAATTTAAACTGACTACCAAACCCATCAAAAAAGTTAACATCAAGATACATTTACGAAATGATGCCAAACCTAAGATAATACCACCAAAGCGTATACCTTATTCAAAAATAGATGCTGTAACTAAAGAACTTACAAGATGGATAGAAGAGGGAGTCATTGTGCCGGTGACGGATGTTCGATGGGCAAGTCCTATAACCGCTGTCTACAAAGAAAATGGGAGCGTTAGGTTTGCGCCGATTTCAAAGACACTGTTAATCCTGCTCTTGAAGATTTCAGATACCCACTTCCAAGAATAAACGATCTTATAGCTAAGCTTAAGGAGGGGAAAAAATTCAGCAAGATCGATTTCAAAGACGCGTTCTTACAAATCCCTATCGACATAAACTGCAGAAATATACTAACAATATCCACACACAGGGGATACTACCGGTTTACTAGACTTCCTTTCGGGTTAAAGACTTCTTCTGCAGTTTTCCAACAGATTATGGATCAAATTTTCGGTGACATGAAAGATGTCATTTTTTATATTGATGACCTATTAATAACGGGAAGTAGTGACGAATCTCATTTCAACAACATAAAAAGAGTTTTTGAAAGAATATTATCTTATGGCTTAGTATCTAATTTTGCAAAAAGCTTATTCTTCAAAAAAAGTCTGAGGTTCTTAGGACACGATATCGACGCCAATGGGATCCACGCCAACCATGACAAGATCGCGGCGATCGTTAGAATGCCGGAACCAAAATCTGCTGCCGAATTGTCAACGTTTCTGGGTATGGCGGGCTAATACAGAAAATTTTTGAACAACTTTGCTGAAATAGCTGATCCCTTGTACAAAATTGTCAACAAGGAAAAATGGGAGTGGAATTTAGAACACTCCAAAAGTTTTGATGATCTTAAGACGTTGATTAGCCTTCCTACAGCTTTGACGTACTTTAATCCTGAATTACCTATCGGAATTGCGACTGATGCATCTAAAAGAGGTTTAGGAGCTGTTTTGTTTCACACCGAAAAAGATGGCAAAGAAAAGCCAATAGCTTTTGCTTCGAGAACGTTAGCAAAGTCCGAGATAAATTATACCAATATTGAGCGTGAAACTCTGGCCATTATGTTTGCTATCAAGAGATTTCAAGAATACTTGATAGGGACTAAGTTCACTATTGTAACGGACCATAAGCCGCTAATCCATATTTTCATCAAAGGGCTCAAAGATAATAGCACCATGTCATTAAGGTTACAGAAGTGGAGTATAATTTTGGGGGGTTACGACTTTAACATCAGATATAAAGCTGGTAAATACAATGTTGTTCCTGATTGCCTCTCAAGACTACCACAAGTAATTGATGATGACGTTATTAATGATATCGCAATTATAAATTACTTTGGCGATATACCTCTTAGTTTTGACCGAATACGTGATGAAACGTCCAAAGATTTTGAATTATCTCAAGTTATTAACGATATAAGAAATAATGTGCCTATTAAGAACAAAACTAATCAAAATATTCAATATGAACTTAATATTATTAAAAATTGTCTGTACAAAAGCAACAAAATAATAATTATTAACAAGTCTGAGAAAGAACATATTAAAGGCACTACATGAAGGTCACATGGGAGCAGGTAAAATTAAATCCTTAGCCAAAGATCGCATGTGGTGGTCTGGTATGGTCAACGACATACGATTGTAATATTTTTCACGACAATCCAAAGAAAATACAAAATCCATGGGTATTAGCGACGAAACCTTTTGAAAGGATTCACGTAGACTATGCCATTTTTTACAAAAAATTGGTTAATAATCGTCGATGCCTATAGTAAATTCCCAATTATAGTTCCTGTAAAAAACATCACGACTGAATTCACGTTGAAAGAAATTTTTAGAACTATTTGGCATACCTGAAACCATTGTTACAGATAACGGTACCAACTTTACAAGCAAAGACTTTGAGATATTTTGTAGTAACTATGGAATTAGAAAATGCACTGGACAGATTCTTGTTTAACTACAGAAATACACCGAATGACACTACAGGTGTCACACCATTTAAAAGAGTGTTTGCGATATTAGAATAAAGTGGGACTTACTGAAACCATTGGAGGATAAAATTGACAAAGTCAACATATCGCTACCGAGAAATCGAACCTTTAATATAGGAGACTTCGTTTGGTACAAGAAACAGAGCGATGACAAGTGGTGCAAAGGCAACATCACGCACAAAGAGAGTGACACCATGTTCCAAGTGAATACGGATAAAGGTGTAGTGAGGAGACATATAGATACGAAAAAGAGATTATTATAATAGATTTAAATATTTTGAAAGTGACCCTAAGAATTCTTATAAGGAGGGAAGTGTAGAAATAAGTGAAAATAGTAAGATACCTTTTAGACCGTTTAGAATTAAACAAAAACCTTTTTATTTAAAAGATTTTATAACCTAAATTTTTAAAATAAAATATAAAATGCAAAATTTCATAATACGCGAATATTATATAATAATCTTTGTTGATTTATCATTCTTACGGAATTCTACATATTCATCATTCCATATTACAAATTTTTATATAATATCATTCTTACGTATTCTACATCATTTCATATTCCAAAAATTTTATTCCAAATTCTTTTATTCCAAATTTAAAATTTTATTCCATATATTCAAACTTGAATTCCTTATGATAATGATAACGTACAGCAACTTTTCAAACCTATGAAAACGTATGGACTCACGCGACTCATACATAGACTTATGCGCCCACCGAGCAACAACTTGATGTTTTGTCGAGGAGGGGAATGTTAATTGTGTTGTTTATTCAAATTTATGAAATAAATTATTGAGTACTAATTTAAATGTTTTGTTACATATTGTGTTGTTTATTCAAATTTGTGAAATAATTTATTGAGTATTAATTGAAATGTTTTATTATATATACCAGTTGATTGTTATACATATTATCATTATTATTATTTGATTTTTAAAAGTAGAAATAAAATTTATTTAAAACAAAATACAACTTAATTATTTCTTGTTTCTTTAATATGGAATTATCTTTTCCCAAATTCACAAAATATTTTAATCTCGATAAATTGTTCAAAATAATATTTTAAATTTCAATTGTCAAAATCAAATATTATATGATTTAAAAATAAATATAATATTAGGGATGATTTGCTTGTAAAGAAATTAATAATTATAACTACAATAAGAAAAATTTATGTTTTTTTAAAATTTGTATTCGATGGTTTCAAAATAACCTGCAGAAATTTTGAGATTTAAAAATATTACATTTTAGATTAGTTGATAAATATTTTTATCATTAGGTTGGAATGGGTTTTTAAAATGCAGAATGGGTTTTTAAAATGCATTGATTTTAGACCCGTGATTATAGTGATATTTATATTGAAGTTTAAATATGTTGTAGGGGAGATTGAAGTTTGTCGAATCGATTTTTCAAGGCTATATCTCCTGGTATTTTTTAGATAATATAAAAAATAATATATGATTAGATAGCTAAAACTGTACTCTATAAAGCCTATAAAAATTTTAAGAATATAGTCATTTTCTTTTATTTTCATTTTTTGTAAAAGTAAAAACTTTGTCCAACAAGTCCTAATAGCGGGGTTAGGAAAAGCACTACTTAGGTCTTCCTAAGCCTTTAGGATTTAGGGCTTAATAAAGATTTTTTAATTATTTTTTATTTCATACCCATATCAATTTTTATTTTAACCCCTCACCCCCCATTCCCAGATCAAGTTAAACCCTTTATGATAAGAGTAAATACTTTCTGTAAAGATATTAATTACATTTTATTTGATTCCTATATTCATATTTTTTGTTTATAAAAATATTCCTGACTACCCTCTTGCCTACTCAGAGTATAAATATCACATACAATAGATATTATTATTACCTTTTATTTAATACCCATATCGCTATTTTGATAAAAATATTCTAACCCCCCAAAATTTAGACACGCTCATTTAGAGTGATAATTATTGTTATATTTGAATATCGTATATATTCAAAATGTTACGTTATATTATGAAAAGTGACACCCACTAGGAAACTGCTTATTAGTAGTATTTTAAGGACGTTATATATTTTAAAAGGACGTTATTTGTGTATTATATTATTATAACTTTCCGATATTTAATATTATCTTATTGAGGTCAATGATTCCATATTAGTAGGTTAAATGACATAATTATAAAATACTATACATATAGGAAACAATTTTTAAATAAAGAATCGATTGTTTTGACTATAAAAATTATTATTAAATAATAAGATATTTTAATTATCTTTTATTTGATACATATCAATATTTTTTATTTTTCCCTCCCCCACTCTAGACCAGGTCCCATCTATCAAGACCAAAATTGAATTCCTTCAATCAAAAGATATTTATATTAGCTTTTATTTGATACCCATATCAATATTTTATTTGCTAAAAATATTCCTAACCCCTCTAGGGCTTAACCCGCCCATTTTGAGTGATAATTTTATAAGAAGATATTTTTTATCTTTTATTTGATACCCATATCGATATTTTGTGTTAATAAAAATATCTGATCCTCTAGACTCGCCCAATTAATGGTAAAATATTCACTTCTACTTGAATAGATCTTTGGGATTAACTATCGATTGATACCCTATATTCGACATATCTACTTTCATAAGCCCCCACCTTTGAAAATATATAACAATAAAATTTAAAAAAATAATAATGCAAAATGCGCGTAAAACCAGGGATGCAAACCCTAAACCGGACCCTGAACCCTCCTGAACCATCGTATTTTTGCTGAACCCAAACCTGGACCCTTATTAAAAGTGGAGGGTCTAAGGGTTCTAGGCGTCATAAAAAATTTTAAAAATAAAAACTATTTTTTAAAAAATAATATAAATTTTTTAAAATTTTATTAACTTTTTTTGTAGAATCATTTATTTTATCTTCGAGTTTTTCTTTCAATTTTTTTCCTGGACTTCAATTTTATTTAGAGATTAATATCATTAGTGTAGGTAATAATATTTTATTATGTAAATTTTTTAATATGCTACGTTATAAAAATGTGTTGATTATCTTTAAAAATTGTGTAATAATATTTTAATTTAAATGATAATGCAAAACACTTTGGTCTTCAATTTGTATGATGCTAGAACGATTTTTAAGTTTGAAAGATTTCTTATTATAGGAGAATGTGAAGTTATTTTATCGGAAGATGATTGGTGATTAATAAAGGACCTTACTAGTGTATTAGTTCTTTTAAAAATAACAATATTAAGATACAATCAGAACAATTATCTTTATTTGATTTTTATGGCGTATGGTAGATTTAGAAAAATTTAGTCCTTTTTATACGAAATATTAGAAAACATGAAAATTCGAGAGCAACAATATTTGCAAAATAGTGTTGTATAAGCTTCTAGATATTTAGACCCTCGATATCAAGTTTTATTGAGTATTGAGCAAAAACAAATGGCTAAAGACCATCTTAAGGATTTATGCCATACTCAAAACTCCATTATTTTACAATATATTGGACGCCATGACAATACCTACTGGTTGTAGTGATAATAATAATAATGATAGCAACAGTGGTGATATTGAAATTTTACTTTTAGAAAGAGAAAAAATTAAATTATCATCAGATAGAAAGGATGATCAAAAAATGCCTATTGCATCTTTAATAGTAAAGTTCTCAGAAGTTAAGAGAATAAATAAGGATATAAATATTTTAAAATTCTGTGAAGAAAATTCTTCAATATATCCAGAATTATATATTATCTAAAATTTTCATTGCTGTACCGGGGTCACAAGTGCAATAATTTTATAAAGATTAACTATATATTTTAAATAAGGGTAGAACGTGAATTTTCATTTTGAAATATATATTGTCTACTATACGTGAAATCTCATAGATGATATTTTAGAAGAACTTATGATTTTGCGATTGAATTAAACATTTAAAATATAAATTATTTCATTAAATTTTTCATTGTAAATTATGAATATGTTATATTGAAGTTTAATAATAAATAATTTAAAAAAAATTATTATTTTGAGTTATTATTTCTATGTTCCCACCCGGACCCGAACCCCCGGGCATTTTCAAATTTTATTTCTGCCAAACACGGACCTGAATTCTGTTTTTTGTCAAAGAGTTCACATCCTTGCGTAAAACTCGTTTTAAATTATAATTCTTCTTTATTATGGTTCAAACGTGAAAATACCGTATAGTTCTTTATCCTTTAAAAAATTGGATTCTTTTAAAACCCGTGATGATCCCGGATAGTTCTGATCCCTTTAAAAATTAATCCATATATTATTCAAAAGTCTTTTAAAATAATATATCAATTAGCCGCAATAAAATAAATGTTGGTACTTTTCTACTTTCAATGCACATAAAAGAAGATTGAAAGTGTTATTATATGATTTTATATTATTTATCAAAATTAATGTTTTATTTTGTCAAGTCATCTTTATCAAAATTAATATTATTTTATTGAGTCATTATTTCCGTAAAAAATATTTATTTATTTTTGGAGTCGATTATTAAAAAATCTATATTTATGTAAAATTGAAAAATATATAAAAGGAAAATATAAAGGTTTAAAAAAAATTAAAGAGTAAAAGTCTCAAATTGTAATAAGAAGCAGTGGAATGGAAGCGGAATATAGAAATGAAAAGATTTTGAATATTATTCACTGGATGATTTGAATTACATTATTCCTCTAATAAAATTTAGTTTACTTGCTATTTTTAGAATATTTGTTTTTATAAATAAATCATGTTATCCATTAAAAAAACCATCTATTATGTTATCAAATTTGTATTTTAAAATTTTATTTTTTTTCTTAAAAAATTTTAAATGCTACCTGATAAGTATAAATATTTTTTCTAATAAATATTTTTATCATTTTAGCAATGTAATGACTGAACGATACTTTTTAAATAGATCTAGATACAGATATCTTGATACTAGTGTTTTAAAAAGCCGAGTTGGCTTAGGCTCAAGCCGGCTCAGGAGTTGGCTCGAGTCTAATTTATTTATTTAAATATGTTAAAACAATATAATATTATTTTTTTTAAACATAATAATTTATATAATATTATGAAAATAGTTTATTGATTTGATGTTTTTTTTAATAAAAAAAATGATATGCTGCTATTGTTTTGTAATATTATTTTTGTTACAATTTATTAGTGATTTTCACGCGCCCAAATTTTTGAGCAAAAAAAATCTTTTGAAGTTCAAAAATTATAAGAATTTTAAATTTTCATTTGCGCAATTTTTTGGAAAATTTTCTTATAATTAAACAATCTTTGAGGAAAAATTTTTTATTTTTTTTTAATCATCTTTGTAAAATTATCTATTTTTTTTTGTATATTAAAAGAGGTAGTTTTTTCTAAATAATTTTTAAAAATATTTATATTAAACTTTTTTATGTTATTTTATATGTATTTTTAACCCTTCAATACTCTGGTGAAAAAAATGACGTTAGTACTCCGGTGGGGTTTAATAGACCCCAATTTCAAATGTATATATGTCCAGTTATATTCATTATTTTGATTTAATATTTGAATATAAGATAGAACTAACCTTAAACTTGATAAAATATTTATTTATTTTTATTTCTTAAGTTTAGATTAAAGATGGTGAGGATAATTATAATTTGTGCCAAAATTTTCTAAAAAAAAGCTTACTTTTTTTAAATTGGAAATTAAAAATTAAAAAAATAACTTATCCATCATATAATCCTGATAATTCATAACATGGATCTTTATTCGTCAATATTAAAAAAAAATTACACTGATAAATTCAAATATAAAAAAAATATTGAACATTGAAATATGTTAAATTTGACAATCAAAACATTTGTTACATAAAATATTAATGTGTTCTAAACATAAATTTATTTTGCATATTTGACAAAAATATTTAGTTTTTTTATCCTTTTTTCTAGGACACACACCACACCTTCCTATTAAAGGCTTAACCTTTCTCTCTTCTCTTGTTAGTATGTCATCAAATCTCATTGCATGAATTAGAAATCTGAATCTTTTAAGAGGCATTGTTACTCTAAATATATCAATTCCAAACCCATCAGATTTCCATAAATCAGACATATTTTGATGGTTAGATTTAAAAATTCCAGCTAAATAAAGAATTTCCAATAATGCTTTGAATTCAGTTATATCAACTTTGTAGAACTTTCATATTGATTATAATTTTGACCTACAATTTTAATTTTTTGGTTGGTATGATAAATTATCTCTTCAATCATTTTTGGTGTTATGAACAAGTCAAAACATTTTTCTGGAGTGTCAGCTAATTTCCCATATTCTTTTACTCCTGGCTGATCAATAACTATATTTTGCTGACGAGTTCTTATTCTCTGATTGGGAAAATCCTTTTTCCATTGAGTAACCTTATTTTTAGCTAATTTTAAAGAGAAATATACTATGATAAATGATTTTATATTTACCTAAATAATACTTAAGCTTATTATCTGTTTCAGCTAATATATCTTCTTCTTCATCTAATTCAGATTGTGTATCATGATCACTATCATACATAAAATCTTCATCCTCACTATTAATTATATTATCCAAATCACCTCAAAAAAAATATTACATTTATATATTTTATATTTACTTTCAGAATCTGCAAAAATCATAGTAGATGATAGAAATAATTTAAAAAATGAGTTTGTTGGAGAAAATAAACATAAAATAACTCCACCAGAAAAAATATTTGTGTTTTTAATTTCATATATCTCATTCAAAATTGTTATATTCAAATTTCGTTTTAATAAATTTTATAATATAGTGGTATATATTTATAATTATAAAAGTTTTAAAAAAAAAATTAAAAAAAAAATTACGAATTTACTCCGGTGGAGTCTCACAAACCCCAAGCAGTCACAAAATGCTTATATGTTAAAAACTACTCAACCAAAATATGTGAAATTTGGAATATAGATTCTAAGATATATTTGATGAAGCTACTGAAGAATCCAGATCATGATAATTAACCGTTTTTATGCAATATCATTTCCAGCATGCCTGGGGTTTCCTACACCCCACCGGAGTATTGAAGGGTTAAAGGAAAATATTTTAATGTGACAATTGTCATATTCGTTTTTTTAAACATTTTAAATGATAATTTATAATAGCTATTTTTGAGGTTTATTAAAAATTTTTACGCAAATGGGTTTAAATATAGGTTCTAAACATGTTAAATTAAAATTTCAGTGAAGATATATTATAGATATGTGACAATTGTCATAAAAATGTTTTTTGACGCAAAGGGTGTAAAATTGGTGTTTAAATATAAATCATTATTGTTTTTAAGCTAAAGATAATTTGATTGATAAATAATTATTATTTAACTCAATATTTTTCTCGATGTAAATATTAATTAATTTTTTTATTAAACATTTTTAAAGCTGGTTTTTATTCATGTTTATGAATAATTAAATGTGGTTTTTGTAAATAATTATTTTCTTGTCAGATACCTGCAGAGGTGTCATTTGCATGGTCCGATTTTTTAAAATAGAAAAATTTCGCCTGGCTCCGATTTTCAAAAAAAAAATTAATACTATAACTATATATTTAGGGCTGGCTCGTCCGTTCCATCTTTTGAGTTGAATATTAATATTTCTATCTTCAATATCAACAAATATTTTACCTTATAATATATATATATTTTGCTCCTTTTGGAAAATCCTCGTTGAGCCACATGAGTGGCCTTCAGAACTCTTAGGTAGCTCACATGTTTATTTTTAACTGTAAATATAAATATATTTAAATTCTTCCACTCCAGTCTAGTACTAATGGATATTTTTAATATTTTAGTTTTTAAAATAACTTATACATTTAAAAAAAATATTATAAATACAATACATCTAGGATTAATTTTTATTTAATGCCGCTACTCTATTTGTTATATAATTAAATTAAATAAAAGAATGCATATATTTATAAACCTAGTGTTGTACGCTAATTTTCAGGTGATTTTTAAAAACGGCTAACTCAATTTATCCAGAAAAATATTACGCAATCCGGAAGATTTTGCTCATAGAAGGAACAAAAGTATAGACATATACTTTCTAAATCTAGAAGCTTAAGCAATATTTTTCTGGCTAAAATATTGAGTTAGCCGTTTTGAAAAATCGGCTCAAAATCAGCTATTTAATAACAATATTATAACCTGGCAATCCATATATCATTATTTCTCAAGATAATAAAAATAGTAGACTAACCATGTTTGATATAAGGAATTAATTTAAAATTAATATTTAAATTCAACCCTTTAACAATATAGGAGGGTTGGAAGATATTTAAAAAAATATATATTATTTTAATTATATGAAACTAGATTACTTTTATGATTTATTAAGCAAATTGAATGAGAGCGAAATTTTGCCTCAAAAAGGTATTTCCATTTAATAGCGAAAGTTATATTTTTTATATTACTTTATAAAAAAGTGTTAGAAAGGAAATAACACTCTATACTTAAAAATTCACAATTTAAAAAAATTTTATTTTTTATTTTTAAAAATCTTGGTTAAATATTTTATTTTTACTTATAATTTTGTTGTTGATAACCATTTAAAAAAATAAAAAATTGCTTCTTTAGTTCTCTTCACTTCGTTTTTATTTGAAATATTATATTTAATTGTATTAAAAACTATTAAGCCAAAATACCAAATATGTGATAATATATAAATAATAAAGTTAACAAATGTAACTATATTATTTGACCGTATTTACGCAAGAGTTTTTCCAGCAATCTGGGGTTCATAAACCCTAGTAGATTTGAGAGAAAATATATTTAATATTTATATTGTTAGCCAAAATAACATATTTTTAATAATATTTATTGATTTATATATTTTGCTAATAACAATTTATTATATACAATAATCAATCATGTCCAAAAATCATCTTTTAAACTTACTGGGTCAATCTACAGCACCAAAAAACACTCTTTCACTAGTCACTGATGTAAATTATGCGAAAAAATATCTTTGGCCATCATCGATAATTTTTGATATCTTTGAATGTTAGAACTCCACCAATTCAAAACATTTATTGTTGATTTAGCAACTGGTTCTCCTATATCGTCAATTTCTTCTTTTGACTGCTCTGGATAATAAGCTTGCCTTAAAAGCGAATTATAAAAATATATGATTAAATATAATAAATTGTTACATTTACTTTCTGAGATCGTTAAATATGGATACCGACATCAAATTCGCTGGATTTTCTTCGTCGTTATATTCATAAACATTGAATGTGCCGGGCAGATATTTGTTATATAAAATTTTAAATTCATCAAAATATTCAACTTTATTGGTAAGTTGGTATATATTTCTTTTTAAACGTTGGGTCAAGGAAAGAGCAAACATAATTAGCAAATGTATTTAAATAATCAGAATAAATTTTATATTTATTCTTCATTTTTACAGCTTCCTCTTTTATCCCATCACTTGCATTAAATGCGATGGTTCGCTCAAGTGATGTCATAAACCTACAGTAGTATAGGTTTCGGAACTTACTTCACAAGTAATCTTGTAAAACGGGTATAAAAACCTTTCTACTTCTTTTAAAAATTTACATTCTTCAGTATTTAAATGAAAATCTTCAAAGAATTTTGTGCCAAACTCTATGAAAGCATCTATATTCTATAAATATTAAAAATTATTAAAAAGAATTAATATTAATACCTTATTGATTGATTTAATCATTAAATATCTACTGTTCCATCTGGTGGCCACATCATTTGGGATTTTTGTGCCACCACTAATACTCATGTACTCCTGCATGAGTTTAGGACTACTTTGCAATTTTTTAACTAAAATATCTATAGGAGGGAAGAATATGAATCTAATCCTTCTTTGACTATTATATTTATAGTATGTTAAGCAGTAAAAACCTTTTTTTTTATTTTTTAAATAATATTTTTTGATATATTCAGATGCTGATAAAATATTTGAGGCATTATCATAAGTTATAGATGATATTTTTTAGGAATTTGAATTTATTTAAGAGATTCAATTATAACTGAGCCAATATCCTCACCCGTGTGGTGGTGAGGTTGATAAAATCTAATAAATAATTTTTGGATATCCATTCATTATCTATATAATGAATCGTTAGAGCCATATTTAAAGTGGAATTTATTCCAGTCCACATATCTGTGGTTATAGAAATTTGGCTGTTAACATTATTAAGCTTAGCAATCATTTCATTTTTTGCTATTGTATATGTGTTCGATAAATGGATGCGGTCTGTCGACACCAAATTTTTAAATATTTATTGATATATTTAAATATATCTTTAAATGATTCACTATCGAATCCATTAATATGTAAATTTTGATCAATGTGATACTTCAAAATTAATTTATTTAGATTAAGATTTTCATTAGGTGAAGGTTTTCTAACTCCAATTAATGATATCACTCAATTGTAGACTAACATTTTGTAATATTTTGAGATGACATTTTTTTAGGTGGTTTTTAAATTACTGGAAGCTGTAGTAGACAAGTAGAACTTATCACAAAATTTTCAATTACATCTGGACTTCTTAGGAGTATCTTTAAAATTATTTCTGATAATGATGCTGTTCTCTGATCTAGAAATTTTATGGCTTTCTTCTTGAATTTCCATGATTGGACTGAACATAGGCTGCGTCTATATATTAAAAAAAATAGATATAAATATAAATATTCAAGTTTTTATACTATTTAAATATTTTACTATAAGGAATATATCTTAGAGGTATGCATTGGCGGGTTATTTGTCATTAAGTTATGTCAAATTAAGATCTATATTGTAAAAATATTTCAAGAAACAAAGCACTAATATTTTTCAATTTAAAAATTTTTTTTTCCAATAAAAAAATTTTAAATTTACATAAAATCGGGCTGGGCGGAAAATTTATTTATATTTCGGGTCGGACTTTTCGGACCAAATTAAAAAACTCGTTCCGGATAGGATAAATTTTTAAAAAAAAAATTGGCCGAGTTTGGCTTTGTGTCAAATTAAGATCTATATTGTAAAAATATTTCAAGAAACAAAGCACTAATATTTTTCAATTTAAAAAATTTTAAATTTATTTAAATCGGGTTGGGCGGAAAATTTTTTTTATTTCGGGTCGGACTTTTTGGACCAAATTAAAAAACTCGTTCCAGATAGGATAAATTTTTTTAAAAAAAATGGGCCGAGCTTGGCTTACATCATTAAGTTGTGTCAAATTAAGATATATATTGTAAAAATATTTCAAGAAATAAAGCACTAATATTTTTCAATTTAAAAATTTTTTTTTCCAATAAAAAAATTTTAAATTTATAGGGGCTGGGCGGAAAAATTATTTATTTATCGGGTCGGGCTTTTCGGTTCCGGTTAGGATAAATTTTAAAAAACCTTCGGGCCTGTTTTGAAAAATTAGGCCAGTAACATCACTAATTTTTAGTAACATTTTGTGACATTTAAACGAAAAATATAATCTGGATTCTGCAGTGTCAAAGTTTTACAAAACCAAAAATAATAAAAATTAATTATATTATTAGGAATTAAATAGAAATAAATGAGCCATCATTAAAATAAAAAATCCTTTGAACAAGGAAAAATTAAACCTTTTAATCTAGCGACAAAAACTAAAACTTATATTTATATTCCTCA